TCTAAAGGTTGAATATACTAAAAAATTTGTCAGAGGGTATGTGTTCTTAAAAGAGAGAGAGAGAAGTGAGAAAGAACTCCACCCACCATGGGACATGGTCACACCATAATTACTTCTCCATTTCTCCCTCCTTTCAGAATTTTGGACATGCCCACATATGCACCGGGTGGGTTTTTCAGCCACTGGATCCTAGAATTGAACTTTGCAGATCCATCTGCTTTACCTAAAAACCAATAAACAGTGTTTGATAATATTATGATGATAATTATATAAATATTACTGAGGTACATAAAACATCTTGCATATTTGGGACCCACTGAGAAAGAAATGTAATGGTTTTTCTTCTTTGCCTTTTAAACAACTTTATTCAGATCATATTAAATTCACCCATTTAAAGTACATAATTCAAGGATATTTAATAAATATACAAAATGGTACAATCATCATAATCCAATTGTAAAAGATTTTCATGTTTTCGTCACCTAAATAAGAATCTCAGATCCATTTATGATCACCTCCCTTTCCTACCCCTAGCCTCAAGAAATAGCTAGTCTACTTTTGGCTTCTATAGATTTTTCTTTTCTGGACATTTTAAATAAATGTAAACATACAATAGGTGGTTTCTTATAGTGTTTCCTATTCCCTACATGTCAGAGAGTGTATTAGTATGTAATTTATTCTTGAATAGTGAGTGATCTATTTGCATTTATCACATTTTGTTATCCATTCATCAGCTAATGGACATTTGGGTTGCCTCAGCTTTCTGACTATTAAGAATAATACTAGAGACTAGCAGTTGGCAAAAAGACTATGTTGCTAGACTCCCATGTAGTTGACCACAGTTTGAGTCCCAGACCCTGTGGCTTAAACTCATGCTGGACCCATGAGCATACATGCCCAAGATCCCAAGAGAATGGAGGAGAAGGGATTGTGGTGTGACCATCCCCCTGGGGGGCGGGGGTGGTGATTTCTTGCTTTCTGTGTTTCTATCTCTCTGTCTTCTTGGCCAGCAAGCACACCCTGTAGTAAAAACCTCTCAAAACAAACAAACAAACAGAAAAACCCAAAAAACCCAAAAAGTTTAAGCCACCAGGTCCGGGACTCGAACCACAGTTTCAAGCGTGCGATGTCATTTTGTTAGCCATTATGCTATCTGCTGGTCCCTGCATTTTATCTTAATACCATCATCTTCTGCCCCTTTCCAAAGTTTACAATTATCTAGAGTCTGATGTTTATTATTTCTTTCACTCATGCTAACTATATATATATATATATATATTTTCTAATCAGTAAATACATGTCATTTAACTGTGTACATTTTTGCTGGATTTGAGTTTTACTCAGGATTATTTTCATGAGATTCACTTGTGTAGAGAGTATTTTTACTACGGGTCATACATTTCCACTGTATTATCCATTGGCCATGTTATCAACATGCAATGCATTATTCATTTTCAATTAGTAGAAAGTTAAGTAGACTTTTTGTTTTCTTTCTTTTTCTTTCCTTCGTTTTGCTGTGGCAAACGATATCGTTATAAATATCCTTGTGTAAGTTTCATTTCTACCTGTAGGACAATATTTAGGGTAGGTATTTCTTCAGCTTTTCTGGATGTTGGTATAGCTCTTGCCAGTACCCACAACAGAGAAGAAGGCTCCTTTTGCCACATTCTAACCAGTATCTAGTATTGTCAGATATTTTTCCCAAAACTATTTTTCCAATATTTGATTTTTTCAGTCTTTAGTCTGTCATGCCTTTACATGTAGTCTCATTTAATACATCAACCCTATGAGGAAGATGTTATTATCATGCTCACTTTATATATGGAGAAACAGATACAGTACCGTAACTTGCAAAAGCTATATAATTCTATCAGTGAAAGGGTAAGGATTCAACCCAGGTGGTCTGGATCCACAGTCCATGCTGCAAAATATCTTGGCATCAATAGGTCCTAAAGTTATTTTATAAAGTTTTGCTGCCATTCCTAATAAGGTATTAGGTAAATACAAATGAAGGAACTACTTATTACAATAATTTTCTGAAAACAAAGCAAAAGAGATGGAAAGTAAGACAAATACATGACTTATTGGATCACCTTCTACCCAATATTCAATATTTTTCCTGCAATTCTTCCCTCTCCCACCCAGAACTTACACTGAGTATTTTGTTTTGGCAAGTGTACTTTAATCTTTAGGAATCCTCTACTGTGTTATTTCTTATTTCTTATTTTTATGTCAGAATTTTTTGCTTTAAATTTTAAGAATGCAACATCTAAAATTTTTCTCAATATTTTAATGACAAAATAGTTGCATGCTATTCTCTAGGTTCTATTCCATTCTTTTTAATGTGCTCAGTTTTGTTTTCATTTTATTAAAATATCTTGCAGGCTTCAATTATAAACTAGAAAAAAAATCCTTTGACTTCTCTACATTAACAGAAGTAATTTGTTGCTACTTCCTGAGGCAGAAGATGAACTTGGTTAAGGATTTAAATAATGAGCTATTTAGGGCTGTCTGATCTAGTTTATTATTCAAAGTTTTATATTATGAAATATGAAATGGAATAATTAAGCTTTTTTTTGGAGAGGTTTTTGCTATAGGGCATGTGTGCTCACCAGAAAGACAGAGATAGACAGAGAGACAGAAAGTGAGAAATCACTCCCCGGGGGGGATGGCCACGCCGCAATCCCTCCTTCTCCATTCACCTCTCGGGATCTTGGACATGCATGCACACATGCCCAGTGTGAGTTTAAGTCACTTGGTCTGGGGTTTGAACTGTGGTTGACTACATGGGAGTCCAGTGACATAGCCATTATGCCAACTGCTGGTCCCAAGCATTTTAAATAGTAAGTGATCCAGTCTTAAATCTCAATATGCAGTAGAAGTGACATGTAAAAAGCAAAGGAAAAATTAATTGTAATAATGGAATGAAATTTGTCAACATAAACTTAAGTAGACTGGTCCTCACTGTTTACCTTACAATATCATTGATAAGCTGGTCGATGTGGGGTTAAAATTTAACGGCATATTTAGAAAATCATTTGTGGATGACAAGGACTTTGTTATCTTGGTTCAGAAAGTAATGGTAGAATTCTTTATTTCTTTTCTTTTCTTTCTTTTTTTTTTGGTTTTTGTCAGGGGAAAGTGAGAAATCACTTCTCAGGGGGAATGGCCATGCTGCAATCCCTTCTCTTCCATTCTTCTACTGGGATCTGGGGCATGTGCACACACATGTGCCTGTAGTGAATTTCAAGCCACCAGTTCTGGGACTCAAACTACAACTGACCATGTAGGAGTCCAGCATCATAACCACACCACCTGCTGGCCCTGGAGTGCTTGCTTTTAGTGAAATTTATTCTTTCTTTCTTTTTTAAAAAAAATTTTTATTACCATAATTCATCTTTGAAAGCAGAATTTAGATGATTTTGGTTATCTTATTACAGAAAAATCAGGTGAGATTTTATTCAATAAATGCAGCTAGGATTATACATGAAGGCATACTAAAGGTAAAATTTGTACTTTCAAAGCAAAGATTAACTTATTTGTGATAACGCTCATTAATGCTCATAGAAGTGAGATCTTGACTTTAAGAAATTACCTGCTAACAGAGATATTAAATTTGGACTGAGTTCTGGAAAGATCTTGCCTTACACAGGAACTTTAAACTTCATTTGATCTAACCTAATTTTTGAATAAGGAGGTATTTTCTATAGAATTTTGCAAAGGTACTTTTTACCTGTTATAACTTGGACTATTAGAGGCTATCAGTGTTGTTGAATAGACATGGTAATTTGACATAGGAAGACCTTTTGATAATAAAATGACAATACCTGTTTTAAAGGATTGGCTTTGGGGACCAGCAGTTAGTGTAATGGCTATGTCACTGGACTCCCATGTAGTCGACCGTGGTTCGAGTCCCGGACCAGGTGGCTTAAACTCACACTGGGCACGTGTGCATGCATGGCCAAGATCCCCAGAGGAGAATGGAGGAGAAGGGATTGCAGTGTGGCCATCCCCCCAGGGAGTGATTTCTCACTTTCTGTCTTTCTGTCTCTCTCTGTCTTTCTGGTGAGCACACATGCCCTACAGCAAAAAAAGAAACAAAAAAGGGATTGGCTTTAAATCTGGAGAATATCTCTGTTTCTCAGTTTCCTCGACTGTTGAATGGGACTACCTCACAGGTATTTCATAAGATTTGATATTTTTTTAGAGAGTTTTTTTGCTATAAGGCATGTGCGCTTGCCAGAGAGACAGAGAAAGTGAGAAATCACCCCCGGGGGGATGGCCACAACACAATTTCTTCTCCTCCATTCTCCTCTCAGAATTTTGGGCACACACACACATGTGCCCAGCTTGAATTTTAAGGTGCTGGGTCCAGGACTCAAACTGCGGTCGACTATGTGGGAGTCCAGTGACGTAAGCATTATGCCATCTGGTGATCCCTGATTTGAAAAGGTAATACATGTTAGGTAGTGATAAAAGTGTCTGACCTATGGGAAACAGCCAGGAAGTACTGGGTGGCTTTACCTATCTACTAGTTTTGAATATTTCTACCCTAAAACTCAAGGTAAGAGGCAAGGTTTTTGCAGGGAGAAATAAAACTGTATCTGGGTTTCCAAACAAACAAGAAGAGAGATTGCTTGGAAGTGTATTTTTCTTAGCAGCTTGCGGATAGCAATAGCTATTATGGAGCTCATGCTCAAGGTCTGTGCTTGTTTCAAAGAAAGCTTGCCATGTGTTGGAGGCTTGGCAGACAACTTGGTTCTGATTCCTTTTATGTCCACTCTCTCATTTTTTTCTTTTAAAATGCACAAACACTGCAGCATTAGTTTCCCTCTTCTCCCTCACTCCCTTCGTACTTTTTTCTCCCTTTCTATTTCTTTCTCACTGTCACACACACACACACACACACACACATACACACACACACTTTTTCTTTAACACATGCACATAAGTGCAGTCACATTAGTTTCATTTTATTTATTTTTTTAATCCCCAAAGGAAGCATGGAACAGGCTGTGTGCAGCTGCTGTGTTTTCCACTGATTAAATTGATAGTTACCTACTGAGTGGAGTTGCTAGGAGAAGGTGAATAGCATGATTACGCATCAATTGATGCACATATTCTTTCAGTAACAACCTGTGGCGCTCTGTAGTCTGTCTGCATGGCTCTTTATATTATTTTCTCTTCGTTGACATTCATATTTGTTGTATTTATTGTTAGAGCATGATTATTTTTTAAATGCTGGTTCCTGATCAATTAAGAGATAAAAACCTTGGCATTTAAACAGGCACTTTTTTCTCGGTGTGGTGCTGCTAGATACTGGTTCCTACCATCTGTTTTCTTATTACATCCTGCCCTCCTTCCGTTGGTAGAGAGGAATTTCAGCTTCTTCTGGAGCGCGAAAGTCATTCACGTTTCTCTCCTGCATAACAGAGCTCGTAAACTGCAGGAATTCTGATGTGCTTCAGTGCACAGAGCAGTAACAGATGAGCTGCTTTCCGGGAGAGCTCGAACACTCAGACGGTCAGTAGTACAGTAGCAAGCTCACACGTGTGGATCGTCCCCGTGAGGTCAGCGCGCCTGTTTATACTGTTGTCTGCTTGGGGGGGGGGGAGGGTGATGTGCTGAGCAGTGGATATATGCCTGTCAAAGTCAATAGCAATTCTAGCAGAGGCTTCCCTCCCCTCTGTACATCCCAGCTGTGTTGATAGATAAGTGATGCTACTGTAAAACCATTTGAGATTTATAGTGGACTGAGGAATGCTTGTTCTAGCTGCTGAAACTGACTGTAACTGTATTGCCCTAGGAGCTTCAGGATGGGGTCGACTGCTACAGAAATTGAAGAACTGGAAAACACCTCTTTTAAGTACCTCATAGGAGAACAGACTGAAAAAATGTGGCAACGCCTGAAGGGAATGTGAGTAAGCTCTTTGCCTGGTGGTGTGTTTTTGTTTTCCCTCAACGGTTTGACTATTAACATGACTAATTGTTAGTGCTATCTGCTTTTGTGGACTAGTGTTTCCTTTAGAAAGATTTTTCTCTTGAAAAAGAAAATGTGTCCATTGAGCTAATAACTTGTTGAGGGATGGATAGCTTTTTGTACCTGCACATTTTATGTAAAGTAAGTAACTCCTGGAGAAGTCACTTCACTGTTATACTAAGGTTTCTTGAATGCATTCTGCATGGGCTGTTGGGTGTGTGGTTTAGATATGCAGAAAACTAATTAGGAAAGCTCTTGCCAGGTACTTGCCAAAATAAAATTTTCTTCAGGTAAAGAGAGAATAAGACTCTTTTTTTCTAGGTAATTAGGTCTTCAAAAATAGGATAGGATTAATATGACAATAAATAATTATACTCCATTGTTCTGATCCTTTGTGTCTTAAATAGCGATATTTCTATAAAACTTGTTTATGTGGTGATATAGTAGCAGCATCTCAAACTTATTGGAGAGTTTTGGCTTTAAATGAATCAATTCACTTCTTCTGAGAGTACAGGATAGGTACTAAGGTATATATTAACCCTTAATAAGATGGGTCAAGAGCTATGCACTTATGCTAAGCATCAAATGTAATTGCTTAAGCAAAACTTTAATTGCAATGCTATTCACCTAGGCATTTGCAACTTTAAGTTCCTTTTTTTTGGTGTGTATGTTATGAATTCCTGTTCAGTGTTCCAATATGTTTACATGCTTTATCTTAATTATGTCATAATTTAAGAAAAGAATCAGATTTAACATTTGGGAAAAAAATGAAATATGGATATTTTAAGCCATCGTTATTACTGAGTATATTTGCAAATATATTTGTTTTTCTATGATAATAGTTGAAGGAATTGCACATAATGCAAAATAGAGATTTTCTAGGATTCATATTTCCAATGCCATGTTTATACATGTACCATTTTATAATGTGTAGTAGCTGAGTAAATTTGATGTTGCTGTTTTGATTACTTTTTAAAGAAAAATTTGATCAAATCTTGTTTAGAAGTAGAAATTCTGCTTTCCTCTATTTGAATGTATTTGATGATGTTTACATATTTAAATAGTATGCTCAGTTTATTCTCTTACTACTTGAAGTAATACATGGCATTACAGTGCACTAGTGTAAGAGCATACTAATAATGCAAACAACACTTAGCAGGGAATAACTTTTTAAAGGAAGCCATCTTTACATCATTTGAAAGAGCTAGAGAAATCTGTTCCCAAAGATCTACTGAACAGTTAGAAACTACAGCTTTTTGTTGATGTGGTTCTCTAGGGAAACAAGCAATCCTATCAAAGCAAATAAGAGCTCACAAGATTAATTAACATAGATGGAAATTAAACATCAGGAGTCATCAGATGAGTAGATGAACATCTGCACCAGAAAAATTATACCTCATATTACAACCTATTTTAGATTTTCCTCTCTTTAGCAGGATAGGCTATTTGTTTGTATTTATTTTATTTTTCTGTAGGTACTTAAATGACTGAAGATGTGTAAGGGTGAATTTATGCATGTGCCTTTAAGGAATTTGAAAAGTAATTTTGTGTTTGCCTAACACTCTAGAGCAAAGTTATCTGACAGTCACTTTGTCAATTTATTTCAAAGATCAATATGTCATTTTATTTGGGAACAGGGTGATAGAGTCATTCAACAGATGATCTTCATGAATTGTTAGCAGGGTATATTAATATGTGCACATATTAAATTAATTTTGAGTTATTTCTACATAGAGATGCAGAATAACTATTAACTATTTAAAAATCATTATTATTGAATTGACTGAAATGACATAGTTCTCTTACATTAAAGAAAAAAGGAATATGCAATTTTGTACTATCACTTTTACTTGTACTTTGACTTAAGACATTTTCAGTATTCTAGCTTTGGGATTGTCAAAGCAAGAAGCTCTACATCTGAAATCTGTATGACTAATGACAACCAAATTGTTTAATTATGGTCTTTTGTGTAGTCTGCATTCAAAGCAGTGATATGAGGGACTCCCTATTTCGTTGCTGAAGTTGTCTTGCCTATTTAAAATGTAATATTGACTCAAACAGAATTTTATCTTATTAAAATTGCTAGTCCTAGACTTCTACTTTTATGTATTGTCAATGAAAATCATGCTGTTTATGAAGCTATCAAATTATTGTGTAACTATTTTCTTATTTTTGGTAGAGTCTATGAAGTGCCTTTAGATATTTGTCTAGAAAGTGATTTTTTTGATCTATTAAACCAATTTTATAAATACATTAATTTATTTCAGGTGAATATTTTGTTTTTAATTTGGCTTATAATTTGGTTGAGTTTATATATAAACAGAATATCTATATCTATACAGAAACTATGGTAAAATTAATGTTTGAGTAATGATACCTCAAACATGGAAACACAAAATTTAGAGGAAATCTTTTGTAGGCATTGCCACATAACAGAACCCTTTAGACATTTTTTAGGGGTACATTGAAATAATTTGAAAATTTTGTAACACATGTGGGAAACATTGGTAAACTAAATTAAAATATCAATTCTTTTCTACCGTTTTATTGATTTCTTTCATTCAGCTCCTTCTAAATGTCTCTTATACAGTATCTGAGACACCACTTAAAATAATGTACTAAGAAATCTCTTATTACTTTGTGAAAACAAAGGTAAGGCAGTTTTCTACTCCCATTCTGATGTAGATTTGTATGCTTTATTCTATTAATTTTCTTTTTATAGTTATACTTTTTTTTCTTTTGCTTTCTTCAATCTGTCTTTTACTTCTAATTTGTCATTTAGTATGACAATTCATATTCTATGCTATGACTCACCATCTATGAAGGCAGAAATGTTAGCAAATAACCATGTCATCAGGTCCTTCATAACCTATATTTAAAGAGAATCCAATACTTGGCCATAAGTTATTAATCGCGGAGGGCATGGAAAACACTTCCTTTTCCTCATGCCATCTTAGCCCCAGGTGAAGTTACTTCTTCCTAAGTTTCTTGTGACCATAGGACCCAGATTGCTTCTTCCCTACTAAGAACACTGGTCTATCACTTGCCTTTGCAGAGATTGTTCATTTATGAGTTCTCCATATGGAAAGTTAATTTGAAGATTTTATATTATTTCATTTAAGCATGGGAATATTTCAACTTTAGGGGTATTTTTTTTTTTTTTTTT